CTCACTGCTAACCACTGCACCATGCTTCTCTCTGAAAAATGGGGCAACAAGAGAAAAAAAGAATATCCACCTAACCGATGACAGTGCAATTATCACAAGCAAGAAATTAAATTTTGATATAAGGTTATCTAATTAGGAGTCAATATTCAAGTTTCTTAATTATCCCTGTAATAACATCCTTCATTCCTACTTATTTCTTTCAATCCAGGAGCCAATGAAGGATCAGGCACTTCATTTGATTGTCACATCTCTCTAGCCTCCTTTAAGCTATGCAGTCCTCTTCTTTTGTCAGTTGGTTTCTTGACTGGTTTATGACACAGACCCTTAGTAACAGACCATGCCAGGTATCTGGCAAGATGTCTTAAAGTTTGAAATTGTCAATTATTTCTTCAAAGTTAGATTCAGGTCATGTGGGACCCTGGGGAGGGATGTTGTACATATGCACTGAATTACAATAAAATAAGGGTAGGGTTAGTTTATCTCAGTATACACAAGTCTGGTAGCTTCAGTTCAGGTGGCATCTTCCAGATTTTTCTCTTATGATAGCTTTTGACCTACATGATTCTAATATGTCAAAGTTTGAAGACTTGCTACTCCAAGTGCAGTCTGCAAACCAGTGACCATGGCTTCCCCTGGGAACTTGTCAAAAATGTAACTTAAACTCCTAACCTGGGAGAGGGCATTCCAGGCCTCCTCTACTACCTTCTACTCCATGCAACCACGACAAGTTGAAGGGAGTTCTAGCCATGGCTGAGGACTCCTGTGTGAGCCCAGCTCTGTTACTTCAGGAACTCCTGAGCAAATCACCTCACTTCCCTGAACCTCATTTGTAAAAGAAGCATTTTTTAATCTCACAGCCAGCACAGATGGCCACTTCCTGTGAGTCCATTTCCTAGACAGTGAAATTCCAAGCACATGTGGCCACAGGCCCAGCGTGGGGCCTCACTAGCTGATATCCTAAGGCTGCTCATATCAACTCCTTCCTTGCTTGGCTCATTCATTCTTCACGAGTGGCTTGTCAATGGCCTGAAGAGAGTCAGGAGGAAGACAGGGAGTTCCAAAAAATAAAGAGAAAAATATAAGGGGCATGGATTATACAAGGGATGCAAGAAGGTGTCAGGTTAAGTATGACCAAGAAGGGAAGCAAAAGACAGAAAACATTTACTGCATGCCCATGCTGATGCGTGTAGGCAGTTTCACATCTACAGGGACCCTACATAAAACCCCTATGTTAATTCACTAGCCAGGCACTTTGGTTAGGACAGCTGCTGGGCCACTACATCTCATCACCCAGTCTTGCTAGCTGTCCCTGAGCCAGCCCACCACAGAAAGCAGTCAGTGGGTATTTCCTGCAATCATTTCCCCTCAGTTTATCAACCACATGGCTGCAGGGGAGATGACCCAGGCAGCAGGATGTCTGTACTGTTCCAAGCCAGCAACAATACCAGGATGAGACCAGGATCTCCCCACTAACAGGCTAGGAAGGCAGAGTCCCAGACAGCCTGAGGACAGCCACAGAGCTAGGTGTAGGTGACTTGTAAGGAGACCCCATTCAGAATCAGCTAACGACCACTGAGTGCTGATGCTGGGCTCCTGAATTCACATGCAATGTTTGCCTTAAGCCTGAGACTTGGCAGTATTATCACTGCTAACTTCTAGGCCCCAACTCAGCTCCTGCAAAATCACAGAGACCTTGGTAAAGTCTAGGTGTGAACTCCACACACAGCACATTTTCCATTATGTCAGTGCCTCTTTCAACCGAAGGATGAAAAAGCAGAGCTGTAATCAGCCTTGCCAGAGTTAATAGTTCTGGTAGCTCCTATATAACTCCTTTCCCAACAGCCCAACACTCCCAAGGACTGTTCTCCTCATTAAACTCCTAAAATGCTGACTTTAGCTACTTACTATTGTTGTGATAACACCAGAGCTGTAGCAGCAGAGTCTTGATTAACCAGGACCCCAAGAGAATTCCCTCATGCATTCATGCAGCAAATGCTTGCTTAGTACCTACCATGGGCTCCACAGCCTCATGGGCACTGAGAATGCTAAAAACACCACCGCCCTCCACTCTCAAACTGCTCTTGGTTCAGTGGGACAGGAAAGGGAACACACCAGTTCCATTGCAAAATTATACAGCCAGGCAGCTGCACATCTAGGGCAAGTGTAGCCCAGGAAGGGCTTCCTGGAGGTGGTGGCAGAGAAGCTGGGCAGAAGTGACGGTATACAGATAGGAGAAAGTACAGGCTGTGCCTTTAAGACAAAGGGAGCACAGTGACGTTTTGATTGATCTCCACATTTCCTGTATTCTATCTTTAGGAAAGAGAAAAAAATCTTATCTCACAGGCCTGATTCATTTAAGAAAGAAAAGGTATGCACTAGCCTGGAAGCCCATGGTCAGCCTAATTTCCTGGTCCCCTGCAGCCATTAGCCAGAGCCCAGAGCAGGGTAATGGATGTTTCGAAGTATGAATTTCAATGCCTTGCAAAATCCTGAATCATCAGCAAAAGGCTCAGTTGTGTTCATTTGATTGGACCTCCTTCCGAGCTGATGAACGGATACAGGCCCCGGCTACCTACCAGGTGGGCTTCAAAAGGAAGACCTCAAACCCAACCCAGTGAATTCTCCTGCACAACTCCAAAGTTATCAGTATTCACAATCCCAGCATCCACCCATCTCTCATTTTCCTAACACTGTGATTCTGGCCAGCCCTGGCTTTGATTCAAAACCCCCTTTCCTACCCTGCACTAAGGAGGGCAGAAGTGTTACTACAGGCCCTGTGTTGCCAACGGGGAAAGGAACACCCAGCAACAACTAGAATAACCCCAAAGCCCCCCAACCCAGTTGTTGGCAGAGGTTCAGGATCAGGATCTGGGATCAGCAACAGAGCTGACTCACTGCCCTCCAATGTAAAACTCCAGGAAATCAGATGTGGGATCTGAGCAAGTGACCATCTCTTGAATGCTTCCTATCTTCACCTGTAGAGTGGAAATGATAGTAATCATCTCATAGGATCCTGTGAGAATTAGCCACAATAAGTTTCTGTGCACATATGACTGTGCCTGGGTGTTTATCTGACTCTTCCTCCTCATAGTCTCGAAGTCTTCTAGGCCCTCTCCGGGAGGCTGCAGGCTTTAGCATTCTGAAAGCCACTTGCAGGTGGTGGAATAACTCTAGAGGAGAATAACATTGAGGATCTGTCAAGAGCAGGTCCTCGCTGGGCCTTTCTCAGAATGGGAAAAGTGCTGCTACGAATGCTGACTAGGAAAGGCAGCAGAAGAGGATATCTCCACGCTTCAGGGGACTTCAGGTTTGGAAGCCAGCCAGCCAGTATATACCCCGTCTACATGCAAAAGGTCCTGGGAGTCTGCATATGTCTGTGTGCATGCAAACAATTTGTTGCACTTTATTTCCCTGTCATAGTCCAGTGTCCCCTTCAACTTACTAAACACTGTGCTAGAGACAGAGTTTAATATATTTTAATCCTTTTTATTTTAACCACTTAACCAGAGCAAAGGAAAACCCAGTTGCTAAGTCCTCTCTCTAGCCAAATACTCTCATCACCTGCAAATACTCACGCACGCACGCACGCGGATACATAGGCCCGATCACCCCAAATCCTCATTCCTCCTCCTCACAGTTCCCGGAAAGGCAGCCTCTCCAGGCTTGGTAACCTCTCAAGAAACCTGTTGCTGAGTCTGAGGACCTGTGTGGACGCCCCCACCTGGTGGCCAAACCAGGAAAAGCGCTTCCACCCAAGGAAGCCTCGCAGTTTAGTGTAACTCCAAGGTTCCCTGGAGCCTTGGACCTTCTTGGTCACGGGTTAACTGGAGGAAGCCAGAAAGGAGAATCCGCCGTTTAGGGCACAAGAAGCGTCAGTGTCAAAGCCATGGCCAGTTTCCTGCCAAAATCCTGGTAGCCAAATAGCTTCCTAAAAAGCAGCCATTAGGACGGCTAAGGCAAGGCTGGGAGGCAGTTGGTGACTAGCTGAGCCCTGCCAGCCCGGGAGTGTGCACTGGCAGCTGGCAGCCAGGATCTCCAGTCCTCGCGGAGGAACCCAGGCTCCCATTCCCTCTCTCCACTCATGTACGGATGGATTTTCCATTCCCGGGGGGAGGTGCATCAGAAGGTCCATCTTCCCGCTGGCTGCGTGTGTACCTCGAGACTAGAGGTAACACTGTTCCTGGGGAGGAGAGGCTGGGGGCAAAGCTCCAGACCAGGCCTCCCACATACTCAGTGCCCTGGGCCAGCCAAAGCAGGAGGAAGCATCAGACTAGGCAGCACCCAAACCACAGAGCTGTTTCAACCAAAATAATCCCCATCCCTTCCCTCTGTTCTTTAAACCTCAGTTCTTTAGTCTAGATTTAGAAATCCTTCACCTTCCTATTCATTTTCCTAAAAGAAGCCAAAGACGTGCATTTTGGCCAATCCAAGCCCCCGTTAGTACAACACCAAGTTCTGTTCTCTAGCGGTACAGGGCCCTGGAAGGGCAGCGCTCACACACACACACACACACACACACACACACACACACACACACCCTACGCAGGGGGCAGCGTGCACTACTCCATCCCCAACTCTGGGATGTATCCTCTAAACTCAGCGGGATCCCCCAAAAGGCATTCACCCCAAGCAGAAAGCACTCAGGGGTGAGCCGTTCTGTCCTGTTCAACCCCCACATCAATTAGGAAAATCATAGAATTCTTTTAAGCTTCCAAACCATCGACTCAGGAGAAGCTATAAATGCGCACCGGCGCGCACACAGGAGCCAAGCTCAGCTGGGGAACCACGTTTGGTTCTTTCAAGCCCAGGTGTCCAACACCCGGAGCGCGGTTCACAGACACACAGAACCGGAAAAGGCGCCCGAGGGCAGGCTGGCCCCCATGGGCGGGAGGGCAGCTCGGAGCATTTCAGGGCTCCACAAGGGTCCCGTGCTCCAGCCCCGACCCTAAACCAACACCGCCGCCGCCGAGGGGCGCCCGAGCGAGCGGCCGGGTACTCACACCAGCGCGTGGTACAGCAGCGCCCAGCCCCGCGGTCTCTCCAGGGCGTCGTAGATCAAAGTTTGGATGCGCCGGTACTTGGCGTTGTTCCTCTTGACCGGACGGCTCAAGGGGGTCTTGGCCAGGAGCCCGATGCCTTGTGGGGTCCTCCGCTGCCCCTCGTCGCGGCCACCACCCTCCAGCAGCAGGGTCCCGTCTTTGTCGGCCCCGGCCCCGAGCGCCAAGGTGACTTGCTCCGCGTCCCCAGGAGGCAGCCCC